GGCCAGTCGATCTGCAGTCAGGGGCTTAATGCAACATTTAGTCGCTTTTGAGTACCAACTCGAAACCTTTCCCCTCTCTTTATTATATCCGTCTTCCTACTTTGCTTCTATCTTCTGCGTTTGTTTCATTTGTTGGTTATCCTCCATTTACATGACCTTCAGTGTCAGTGTTGTTAGGCTCAACACCGAATCACTTCCAATTCGGATTCGGTCCCTGTGAACTTAATGACCGATGTGTACTTCAAACTGCACCGAGATCTGAATGGAGATTGCGTGTCGCAATCCAATCAGACAGCGGGTTTTCCAAATCCAACTTGACCTTCCTTCTTTTTTTGTCTGTCCGTGGCCGAAAGGATTGCACCCCTAGCTTGCAATTTTTAGGTCACCGGTTCGAATCCGCTTAGGGACGGGCTTCCTCACGTTATCCTCAGCCCACGCGCGACCAGTGGTGATTACTTGGCAGCAATGCGTCTGCACAGTATGCCGGCGTACTGCTGCTGACTGTTCTCGAGAAACATTCAGCTGCAATAGGGTTGGGCTTGGTAACTGGTTGATAGACTTGGAGCACGCAGTCGACAGCTCCCCCTAGGCTTGCCCCGCATATGCACAAGTGCTCCTGAAAGCTTTGACGCGTCGGTACTTTCTTTGCACTTTCAAATGTCAAGGTGCTGTTTCAGGACCAATTTGATATATCACCAGTTCTCACTTGCAGTGGCCGTTGTGCTCAGTTATCTAGGTAGTTATATCACGTACGGTGATGCTATCACTGAGTGGGGAGCTACACGCTACCGCGAAATTCCGTATTGCTCCCCAGGGTCTCATTCCTTCATGACGACTGTAGAACATCAGCTGGTCAATCAGACACAGGACCGGTGTTTCTGTACGGTTTAGAAACATGACTAGCTCGTAGTGAAGATGTTAAAATGCTAATCGTCTTTGATCACCAATGTTTGTGCGGGATTTTCTTACCTATGGTAGGAGCACTGGGTAAAAAGCAATCCTCCAATACCACAATGAATGGTGTGAATTTTCAATACTTTGCCTTCTTTTCACAAGCCCATTATTTCTCCTTGGAGATTCTGTATTCACATCCTAATCTACTTCCACCATTACATACCAATGACACTTCGTATGTAGCCTGTCAGTGAAAGTTTGGGTGTATAGCGTTGCAACAAGACCAGTGTTACTGTATAGATCAGTGAGTTGACCTGTTCACAGTGAAGGCATTAAACGCTTGCAGTTGTTTGATCACCCATGCTTACGGAGTATTGCTTAAAATAATGACATATAAACCATCAGCTGGACGCCGTAACGGTGCCTCGCTGTCGCGTGATCAATACCAGTCGCGCGTGAGCTGTGGACCGCGGGGACGCCCGCCCCTGCTCGGATTCGAATCGGTGACCTTATGGTTGCAAACCAGGCGTACAGACCACTTGGCCACCGGCCGACAGAATATTGCTTACATCTGGCGGGAACACCGGGTGACCCATGCTGAGGTCCGTCAGTCGGTTTTTGGCAAGAATCCTTCTGTTGCCTCGGGTGTCTGTTGAACTTGAACCGCATATGTTGGCCGGATTATGTCCACCGGATTCCCCTTTGATTTTCTTCAAAGGTCGCTGCACAAAATGGGGCGAAATTGCGAGGTGGCCACTCCATTACGTGGCTGGCTGGCTGGAGGCCTTCAGATGGTCCATATACGTTGTTGGAGACCCTATCAGACATGGCGCGGTCACGCAGTTAATGACAGACTTGCATTCGTTTTCCTGAATCTATGTAATAGTTTCCATTCCATCTCAATTATTTTAACACGCTGCTTCCTTGATTCCATTTTCTTTGTATTTTATTTGCGTTCGACCTCACTTTCTTCTTATTTATTTATTGTTATTCTGATGACGTGTAGTGGCAAATGGATCCATCCCACTTTGTTACCCTGATCATAGTTGTTCAAATGGTGATTTCGTTCTCAAACGGTTAACGTGCCTTAGTTATTTCACTGACACTTACTTTAGATGCCGTGGTCATGCCACTTGCCCTCATCAGCCTTCCGATCACTTTAGTGTTAAGCTCAACTGTTTTAATCCGTTGCTCGCACCTTGCAACTCTTCACGTGAGCTTAGCCTTTTACATTATACTGCAACAGTATAATGCAAATCCTCAGTTTACTTTTTCTATCCAGACTATAAAGTCTAACTCCATAGTCATAAAAAGTCAGAGACATCATCAGTACGCTGATGCTTCACTGTCACGCGTCCATCGCCATTCGCGTGTGGGTAGGGACACTTCTATGTCACATCCGTACCTACGCAGATTCTGACTGATAATCTTCGATATTACTCGCGAGTAGCCGGATTTAGTTGTAATTCTGATAAGGCTTTCATCCTAGTAGTTCACAAGTTGAGTTAGAATGTAGACCTCTCCTCCCCTCGGCCACCAGTTGGTCCCCATAGTTACAATCAGATTTGATCTTTACTGAAACTCTGCTAAACTTGAACAGCTTACTTTAGCTGCGTCATTTCCACTGTATGCCTATGGGCCGCTTACTTCGGCGCGCACATTATGCTGATTTTGCCCCTGTTTGGGGCGAAACCATTTGATGGCTTGTCGATGTCGTGTCATGGAGATATGAAGACTTGCTTCGGCGGCCTTTGTGCATGGAGCCTCGGGATCAATCACATCAGTGGTTGGAAACGTTATCCGACACGCCCGCACACTAAGTCGAAGGAACTCTGGCACATGTTAGTTTGCATCTCGCTGTTTGCTTTTTAACCCATTTGTATTCTACTTGCGTTCTACGTCACTTCTCTCATCATTATTAGTCGATGCGAATGGTACCAGATGGATCCACCGCACTTCGGAGCCCGGATCATCGTCGTCGCCAGACTAAGCGCACCTGCCTTTATCTGGCTTACTTTTTTCCACCGGCATTTGTCGCCTCAGTGCGTCGTAGTATGCGTCACTATTTGACATATATTAGCGCCCCTTGTGACTGCCCATTGTTAACCAGAACGACCTGCACTGTGTACAGCACCACCGGACATTCACTACCAGATCACTACCACACATTCGAGAAAGCTTTGAATAATTGTCTCTTCCTATATGTGTTCACTGGCTCCTATTGTTTCTGTATTCCTGTACTTCGTACGCACCGCGCTCTACGACAACTTTAACTGCTAAGTGTGGGTGTCCGTGTCGGTTAGCGTTAACAAGTTATTAATGTGGCGTAGTTCATTCTCTACTACTTACAGATGTTACGATTGCTCCTCAGTGACTGATGAGTCCCAACAAAACAGAACGACCGTTTGATGTCACATTGCATAGTAGTTCTCGCACTGTGTCTACTTGTGGCATGTGTGCGCTTCAGCTACTTCAACTCCGCCATATTCCTACCTTAATCTTCAAAGTGTACCCCAGGGCCTCATGGTGCTAGGTGCACCGAGCATTCTACATCAGCATTACACGTGATCTAAAGGTGAGAAACACCTCAATTATCTTGCCGCAACATCATTGTATCGTATTTCGTGGGCAGAATACTGTCAGCTTGCTTAGGGCTTGACAAGAGAACGAATCGGGTTCGCAACCAAAGCCTTTGCTTCAAAAATGCGACCGCAAGGCAGCGGGATTTTGACACTAGGCTACAGAGAGTCCATTTTCTGGACTAGGGAATACTCTCGCTTGAACCGTACACAGAGTTTGCCTGCCCTCTAACCATTGACCAATCTGCTATGAGGGGTTCTGAAGGTTCAAATAGCACCACCAATACATTTTTGCGACACGAAAACCACCGCACCACGTTCAGGTTCAACCTCATCGCATGCTGCATACCCTAGGATAGACCCGCAACCAACTGAGATTCTCGGGATCCTTGTCCATGCGTCCTTCACATCTACTCCTGGTGTCACTCGTGAACCACTTTTTCTCTTGGCTCCCTCACAGACCCTTCGTCGCTTCGGTTATCCACTTCTAATCACACCTCATGGGTTTCCCACTGAGAGTATCGGCAGCGGTTCGACAAACCCATCAATACTTTCCATTGCACTTCACACACTTGAGGCACACTGATTTCTACTTGACACCTTTTGCAAATTCTCCTTGCTTAATGCCCTGTCCTGTGATTACGTGCTTCTGTTTACTTGCGGCTCCATGATCTTTGGAGGAAATCCTTTGTCCCTCAGATGGGTTGTAGTGAACTACTTACGGGAAAATTTTGTTACTGAATACAACCATAACCTTGTTTTGAATTGCATTGCTGCGTCTACTCGGTAATGATTTCTCCCACTTCCTCATCCGTCTCTTCGGCCTTTGTCTCTGTGATCTTACTGATGATCATCTATCTGATGTGCACTCCTTTCCAGTGGCGGTTTGTTCAGAATAACCAGCGCATTGATGCTTCTTACATACAGTTTACAGTCAGTATTTACGCGGTGAAATCGCTGTCCGAGGGATGTAATGCACTGCTAGCGACGGCGCCCGTGACGATCGCCGACGTGGTTCATGTGATGTTACCAAACTCCTGGTTTAGCGATCACTTATGAGTAGTTTATCTCATTTAAAGAGATAAGAGTTTGTGTTCGAAGCTTTACGCTGCGTTTCAGCGTGGCTCAATCATCCCTTTCTGCAACTTATAGTAAGAGCTTATGCATCTGTTCGCATTTCCTCCACCTCTCTTTGAACAAAAGGGGCTCAGCAACTTTGCTTTTGGAAACTGTCATGTGCTTTACGTGTTCGAATCGCTAATCTCTGCCGTGAGACCCTTTGGAAGTTTACTCCATAGCTATGTTTTCGTGCTGTATTCCACACCTGCAGCATAGCCTCGCACTCTTGCTACCTCGTATCTACTGATATCGGCATGTTTCCTAGTTACCGATTGAGCAAAACCCGAGCCCTTTGCCCCTTGCTATTTGTTCCGATCTTCCACTTTAGTTTACCGAGTAACTAATTTAAATAACCAGTTGCTCGATCACACAACGAACATATTCCCATCTCCCCTATTCCCAATACAGGATGACAGCAAGTCCAAGCCTAGCTCCAAGAATCTCACAAATAGCACGCAGGACAAAAAACGAAAGAGCACTGGCGGCTCTGCCGCAAGCCTCAAAAAACGCCGTTGAGCTGCTCATCACTTTCCTAGGACTCCACTGGCTTGGATGATCTGCATTTCTTAGATCTACTTGTCACAAACCTTTTGATATCTCCACTACTTCCCTATCCTTCCAGATGTGCTATTTCCAATCGTACACATTTGATCATCCTCTCATCAGATGTTCTCCGTATTTTTTGATGGTGCTATCCTTATCCAAAGTAAATTCCATCCAATTTTTCGCTTTTTGTTTTCCGTCTAAACAATACTCCGTACGAATTACCCCGCCCATCCTCTTCAAGAATTATGATTAATTTAAAGTTTGTCGCCAAAGAGTGTCATCATTTGCATAACTCGTTTGCTCTTCTGATGAGCGAATCTAGCTCAGGGAACTCCTTTTTGCCACGTTTTCCGATCATATTCCAATTGGAACTACGGGTCAGCTCAGTTTGAAGCAAATTGCCAAAGAGCAGCTACCAAATGCGCGTTGCTTTTAGTGAGTGTTCATCACAGTAGTCATTCTGAAATACACTAGCTGGCCGTTCCGTCCTATTGAGCTCTCAAATAAACTACATTATTAAGAATCGAAATCTGATGACATAAAGTGAGCTGCTTCTCCCATCATCCAGCCGCATTCAATGATACTGCTCCGATGCATTGGACGGGCGTTTCATCACAAGACCGATGTGTTCTTCTCCACGAGAATAGAAGTATAAGGGCATGATTATTAGAAATGGGACATGCATTTTAGTTTCACTTTTAGGCCACTGGATCTACATCTTGGCTGCTCGGAGTGTGTGCCTGATTGCGTACCGCAGGTGGAAAATTATCACCACCGCAATATCTTCATTGCACAGTAGCTCTCGGGAGATCGATTCTCTATAAGCCCTTATTATTTTTATTATACACGCTAGCTAGAGGTGTAAAACACCTTAGCTACTGTGCCGCAATACATAAAAGAACAAAGACGATGAATGCAACAGTTGCATGCCAGCTGAGCTACCAGCAACGGATAAGCATCTTTCCGGAAAACTAACAGCCGGCTACTAGGCAACAAAAAGATTATTTTGTGCGAAATTACATTATTCTACGAAATGAGGTCGTGGTTTGCGGGGATGGCTAAAATGGATGGGGAGGGACAAAGAAACTCACAGCAGGAACACCACTGAAGCCAGCTCTTAACCATGTCAGCAAGTGTATCTAGCCAAACGTCTTTTTTTAATCCCAAACTGGGAGCTTTGACACTCCAGCCGAGGTCAGCTTCGAAGTGAGGGCCTTCATTCCTCTCGACCAAGTCATCACTTGGCCACATCTCCTATTCTTCCATCCACATTCCTAGCGAGCGAACAATGCACGTCGCGGGAGTCGTTGGGCTAACATGCGTAACACGTAACCGAGCCATCGGAGCCTGGTCCGTGAAATGACGGGGCTGAGCGGTTCATTTCCTTTTTCTGTACCGTAAACAAGGCGTCGATCACGCTCGTTGCTCACGCGGTGTTCCCACCAGATGTGAGCCAAGCTACGAAGACCCCTGTGGTCAAGCTTATATATATATATATATATATATATATATATATATATATATATATATATATATACCGTCTATTAACAGACATCGTGCCATCAGAACCAAGGTAGAAGAAAAAAGTGAAGCTAGAAACACGAAATGCGAAAAACGGAAAACGATTTTTTTGATTTTACACATTCCATTTTGATTTCTGTTTCGTTAATATTTGTGTGCATTAAATGGGGGATAAACTGGCAGAGCAACATTGACGCCACTGATGTCTGTTGCGGGCCATGACGTCCAATGTTTCCAACCACTGCGATTCAGCATCCTCATGGTCCCTAGCATGTAAGGCGGACTGGTTCGACTTCCGCCAAATTTGAGGTTGCCTTCTTCATGCACATTCTCCACGTCATTGGCTGTTCACCGCGGCACTTTTTCCATTCGCTCCCTGGGAGTACAAATAGCGCTCGACGTGGAAAGTGATGGGTTGGCATTCGCAAAACGTGCCCGATATCGGAGAATAGCGTTCTGAAGACTGGCATCGCTCGATCTCGAATCTCTGCGTTGCTTACGTGGTGTTGCCACCACACCCGAGAAATTCTACGTAGACAGCGATGGTCGAAGACTGACAGCCGCTTCATGTCTTCCGAGCGAATAGGCCAAGTCTTACAGCCGTACAAGAGTACTGCACGGATGGAAGCATTGTGCATCCTGCTCTTGCGCTTGAGACTGACATCTCGACGACATCATTGGTGTCTCATTTTGATGAATGTAAGGCCGGCTTTTGCAATCCGTTGTGAGATTTCATCTCCAACACCACCACTAGCCGTGATGCAACTCCCTGAGTAAGTAAAGCAAGGGACTTGCTCCAGAACATGTTCAGCAATGGTGAGCTCGGGTTCAGGCATCTGCCAGTCCTGTAGCAGTGTTTTACATTTTCCCGGAGTGCAACCTATGCCGTAACTAGCCTCTTTAGGTCCGCTGATCTAAAGGCCAGGTTTCGCAGTCGTACAGTGAGGTCGAATGGACCGCTGCATTGTACGCTCTACCCTTTAGAGAGTGATGTCGCGCCGTCGCCATAACTGGCGGTTAGTAGATGCACCTCGAGCTCTTGCTATACGTTTCGTGATCTTATCTTCAATCCGAAGGGTGATGATACAACTTTCCAGATAGTTGAATTTCTGAACGACTTCTAGCTGATCTCCACCAAGGCTCAGCGCAAGAGACGATCCTTGCCAATCTTGGAGGAAAGCTTTGAACTCTGATGTCGCAAAACAAAGTCGGAAGCGGCTGGCAGCCAGTACTAATCTGTTCAGTGCCGCTTGGCACATCTGGGAGCTGTCACAGATTAGTGCAATATCGTCCGCATACTCTAATTCAACAAGTTGTTCTCCTGGAAGTAGTTACACACCTAAGTCGTGTCCTGTTAATGCAATCTCCATGAGTTCGTCAATAGCGATGTTAGAGAGGCAAGGTGACAGCGGGCATCCTTGTCTCACACCACTGAAGACCGAAGTCAGCTCGCTGTAAGCACTCACTCTGCCCGTGCTACGCGCGTATAATGATCAGATAATAGTTACATACTTGTCGGGCACACCTTCCCTGAGTAGACAGTCCCAAAATGCACGTCTGTCCACCGAATCAAATGCACCTTTGATATCAAGGAGCAAGACAACGGTGGGCTGCCAATTTGTGTGACGGTGCTCCAACAACTGACGCAAAGTGAAGATGTGGTCAATGTAGGCACGACCTCGACGAAACCCGGCTTGCTCTTCACGAATATGGATTTCACAAGTGGCAGTCAGTCTGTGAAGGATGACAGAGGCAAGTAATTTGGAGGCAATGGGGATCAGACTGATTCCTCTGTGGCTGACGTATTCCGAACTCGAGCCTCATTTGAAGATCGGAACTATTTATTGGAGCGGCTCCAGTCGGTTGGGACAAGTTCCTGCCCCCTGAGTTTCACAAGTAACTCATATAAATCATCCAAAAGATCAGGTCCTCCAAATTTGAAGTGGGCTGGATGTAGATCGTCTGGTCCCGCCTTGTTCAGCTTCGACTATTCGATCTCATGTTCGACTTCTGAACGAGATGATGGATCCAAAGAGAGTCCAGGGAGCAGGGCGATCTCTGGCCGATTAAATTGCCTTTCAAAGTGCTCAGATTAACGCTCCAAGTATTTTGACAAGTTGTGGATAGTCTGCCCACTCTCGTCATAAATTGTTTCACTAACACAAGGTCTCCTGCTACCCGTTTGCCATGTCAGATAGAATAACTTTCGATTGTTACCAAAGTTAGTGGCCACTTCTATCGCTGACGTACGAAGAGACCATCAGGATTCGTTGTCACTCTTCAGGATAACACGGAGTTTTGCCCGGAGCTCTTCGCGAGTTTCATTGTGTTCGCTTCCAGCCGGAATACGCCGGCGAGCATCAATAAGTTTCAGAGACCGCGAAGCGACCCATTGTTCATGTTGGAGATCAGACTTATCACATGAGGATTTACCTGTTGCTAGTAAGATCTGGTGAACATGCGACCAGTGACCTTCAAAAGCCTGTAGTGTGCGCTTATTCAACCGCATGTCAGCGTATTTCGATATGCATACAGAATAGCTGGTTTCGCCAGTTGGCTGGTGTCAATGCACTAACAGCGTCGTCGTGGGTGTCCACCACAACGCATCAGCATGTCAGCACATACAGGTGCATGGTCGGTGTCCACTCATGTGCTCCAAATCGAGCGACAGTTCTGGACACAGCCTCTTTAGCGGTAACTGATCGCAGTGTGGTCGATTTGCTTTCGGGCAAATGCTGCTTGTCGAACGATCTGTAGCAGTGTATGTACATTGAGGCATACCAGTCTGAAGGAGGATGGAGGGCTCCTAATGGAAGCCGATAAACTAGGCTGGACCGCTTGGTTGAACATGGGTTTGTCGACAGGACAGGAGTGACGCTACGCGTTTGCATATGGGTTGAAACTAGAAGGTAAACGCCTATCAAGGCAAGGTGTTTGAGGGCCAAGAATCGGGGCGATAAGAGTGAAGCTGGAACGGGACGATATGGGTGAATAAGCGTAGGATGACGGGAGAGCTTGAGCAGTAGCATCCAAACCCCTATCTACCCTGCTTGATGCCGCAGATAGGACACCGTTTATTATCCTCTGCGGTGGCGACTTTGATGAGAGATTCATTATATTGCGTGGGTAGGATGCTGTCAGGTTGCCCAGGCCTAGACAGGAGAACGATTAGGGTTCTCAATCAAAGGCTTTGGTTCAGAAACCTGACCGCATGGTAGCGGTTTTGGCGTTGGGCTACAAGGAGTCCGTTTTAAGAAATAAGCAGCCACCATCATTCCAACCCCCAATCTGGAGGACCAGTAGGTTGAGTTTGTCTGGCCTCTAACCATTGACCAAGCTGGTATGAGTGGCTCTGTAGGTGCGAAAAAGCATCACCCAACATAGCTCACTGGATCTCGGAGGCACGCAAACTATCGCACCATGGTAAGGTGCAGCCTCCTTGCCTCTATAAGCCAAAGGAATTATAGCGGTCTATTTTGCTCAATATCGGCCTTAATGAGAGTGGCCACTGTCCCTCGGGCTCGGAGCACTAGTGTGAGAATACGGAATGCTGAATGGAAACAGCAAGACATCTTGTCCCTGTGTAATTGCATCTAAACTCTATGAGGTGCAATAACCTCTTATGTTGGAGAGAATTCGAGATATTTCATGTCGGTAGGGCGTTTGTCTAGGAATTTCTTGAATTCCGCCACCGACCTTGCCTCGACTATGTGCGTCGGCAGGTTCTTCCATTCAAATCAGAGTTGGTGCGCGACCCATTTCAAA